GAAAGAAGCTTCTCCAAATTGAAGCTACTGAAAAATTGTTTGAGGTCAACTATGCTACAAGAAAGATTAAATGGCTTGGCTATGTGCAGCATTGAGAAGGATATTTTAGATACAATTGATCTTGAAAGTGTTATTGAAGATTTTGCATCAAGAAAATGCCCGAAGACGCTTTTTTATTTTGCCGTAGTTTTATTTGAGGTAACCATCATAGTTATTTTGCCGTTTTTTATCTTCTTTGATGTACTGTTACCTTTTCAAGAAGAATTAAATATATACTACAAGTTATATACTTTAATCGTCCTATTCAAATATTACATTGCCGGACCCTTAGTGTCTTACTGGCCCAAGGGCCCATGAAATTTATGGGACGGCCCTGTTTATGAGACGAACATTTTGAGTCTAATTAGTCAACGGTTGGACAATTATTATCAAATACAAACGAAATACTTCAGTAGGAAATCTAATACTATGCAAACTTTGCACATCCAAATTCCGGCCAACTAAACGCACCCCTGGTGCTTTTGGCCCCAGTGAGGGCCTGTTTAGTTCCCAAAAATTTTCACCCTAAAATATTACATCAAATCTTGCGGCATATGCATGGAGTACTAAATGTAGACGGAAAAAAACTAATTACACGGTTTTGTAAGAAATCGCGAGACGAAACTTTCAAATCTAATTAGTCCATAATTACACACTAATTACTAAATACCAACGAAAGTGATACCGTAGCTAAACCAAAAAAAAATTGGAACTTAAGGCGCCCTGAGAGCAACCTCGCAGGAAAACGCTAGCGCGGCTGCAGGCTTCGCAGAAGCGCCCTTGCTAGGAATTCTCCCTGTGCAGAAAACTTTTGAGGTAACCCGGTCACATCAGGCCTCACGACTGTACCTCTGGTCAAGTCTTCTAGCATCTACTGTAGTAATATGCTTCATCCGTGAGCCCGTGATTGGAAGGTACCGTTTACTTGGCAAAAATTTTTTTTGGCGAAATGCATTGTAGCACTTTCGTTGTTATTTAATAATTAGTGTCCAATCATAGTCTAATTAGGCTTAAAAGATTCGTATCGTGAATTTCGTCTAAACTGTATAATTAGTTTTATTTTTTATTTATATTTAATGCTTCACGCATGCGTTCAAAGATTCGATGTGATGGAAAATCTTGAAAAATTTGACATTTTGAAGTGTAACTAAACATGGCGAATTGGATGGTGCATCACGTGCATGCACCACCGGTGTATTTCCTGTTGTAGAAGCATCTACGCCGGAGATTTCCAACTGCGTAAACACAGGGGAAGTGACCTGAATATGATGCCCAGCTGGTAAAAGAGGGTGGGCTAATTCTAGCCTACAGCAGGTCAGCAGTACAGTCCTACACCCTTTGAGTTTGTGGTTAGCCCTCCAGCTCCAGTTTTCACTCCACCGGCAAAACGCTGCTTTGGGCCTTTGGCGTGGAGGTTCGTGGAAGACGGATGCCGAGCGGAAGGGTTTGACCGACGGAAGGGAGAAGGCGCAGCGCAAGGCATGGCATGGACCAATGGCCAATGAGAATTTCGACCATTGACTAGGCCACCGGAGGGATTAGATTAGAATAAGGCACGATTTGGCCATCTGTTCCGCATGGGAAACAAAAACATCGCTGAAGCACACGGCACACCTGCATCGCCGGGCCTAATCTTGTGATGGAGTTTTATAACGTGACCAGGTAAATGCCCGTGCGTCGCAATGGAAACACATAATACCACGATAACATATATACGAGCATGTGTTATACTGTTATCTAAAATAGATACCACAGTCACAATGTTCCAATCAATTTTATATAAGTCTTTACGAAAGATAGATAGTTAAAATATAACTCTAAATTTAAATACAAAATTGAAACATCAATATTAATTGTCGTATCACTTCATGCCGTGACATCGCAGAAAGGTCTAGGGTAACGGTTCTTGGAAGAATCACGACCTTTTGTGCATGGACAATCACAATTAAGCACTCCGTAAGGGCCATGCATCATATGTTTGGTAACCATCATGTCAAATTAATATTCTTGATTAACTATCATATTATTGTTCACATCATAAAAAGTGGTCATTAGCCTTCACACACAAAACTACAGGCAATCACTCTAGCCATGTTTGGGCTCACAGCACAATTACCATACATGAACAGAAAGCTGAAGAAAATAGCAGGGCATGAAAATTAAAGCACATGACAAGCAGTATTCAATTAAATGGGAGATGCAATCGAGCAATATTAGGCAAGTAGATAGACTATCAATGGTATTAATTGCCCAATATATGAATTTTCTCATAGCAAAAGAATTATTGATTCACTTAAACCCGTACTCTGCAGATATATGTAGTTTTAGAGTAGCCTAGTTAGCTTCAGGTTCGGTCTTTTTTCAGCTATTTGTTTTTTATTCTTTTGTTTTTAGTTTGTTTTTCATATTTCTGATTGCATATTCAGAGATGACTGAAACCTAAAGTTATCAACATAATCAGTTCATAGACTTGTCTGCATATTCTGTTTTGAGTTCGGTAATTTTTTTTTAGGTTCTAGCAACGAGAAAAGGAAGTTCTGATGATCTAAAGATCGCTATTTACCTACAATTGTTAGCAAAAACAGATCCTCCTATTCTTCGTTGTGGAGTACTATGTAACACCTGAACCAACGACCTCAATCTGATGATACAATGCCATGTGTGACCATATAAACTACTACATGATCTAACTATCAACCAAAGCAGAGCAAGCAGGCCCCATTAACATGACATTGCTTTTCTCTAGTTGGACATCATGTTCACCATCAAACTCACCAAATCTGTTTATTTCTAAATTTTATTTGTATGAACTCTAATCTGAATTTTCTTTAAGCAAGGCAACAGTTACCAATTTATTGATGCCGTAATGTTTAAACCCAAAACATCATACAAAATTTTTGAAGATGAGTATGGCATGCGTATTGGCATTGATACACTGTAATGGGTTGAAGCACACAAACAAGTAGCATGGCCTATCAGTATCCCAAATTTAAGTGTATTATATCAGTATCCCAAATTTAGGTGCATTATAAGCAGGCCACGCCGCAACACCAGCAGTTCACCATCTTGTGGCAACGCCGCAACAGGTCAACCACCGTGCAGCTCCAATAACTTGTAAAGCAGGAGAAGGGTGAGGGGATCCCAGTTCCCAGAAGGAGGTGACTCACCTGGTCGAGATCCGAACTGAAGAGAAGGTTGGCGGCGGTGCCCTGTAGCTCGTCGTGTGCCGCCACTGGCCGGCCAGTGGATGGGGCCGAGCGTCGCTGGCCGGGGAAGAGGGTCGAGCGTCGAGGAGCTACAACCGTGCCGCTGTGCTGCCCGCGCCGCCCGCGCCCGTCGGATGGATTCGTGAGGAAGAGCCATACCACTCCGCCTTGCCCTCGCTGTGCTGTGCGCCGCTGCCGTGGCGAGGTGACCGAGTTCCTATGGTTAGGGAAGGGGGGCCGAGTGCCACCGGTGGAGGAGCCGTGCCCGTGCCGCCGCGCTGTACGCGGCACACCGCCCGCACCGCCTTGCACTTGCTAGCCACGCCCACGCCCGTCGGTCAGAGACGTGAGAAAGAGCCACGATGCCTTGCCCTTGCTGCCTCCACTGTCAGGATGCCGCGCCGCCTCTATCGTCGTGACGCCGCTCTGCTGGGAAGGTGGCCTCACGGGGCAGACGGCGCCCGCATTCTCCGGATGCTGGCAGTTGCCGCGGCTCGCCGCCGTCGCTCCGTGTCGTGAGGAAGAGCCGCGCCGGTATCGATGGGTCCTTGCTGTAGTTGGGCCGATGAATCACGAGGAGGTGGAGGCGGCGGCGGCGCACGAGGCGGAGGAGGCGGTGTCACTGAGGAGGAGACCGTGAGAGGGATTGTTGTTTCCTTTTCTATGGTGCTGGCGAATCGCGGTGGAAGCGGGCGGGCAACGCAGGGATGGCGATTTTCTTTATTACCGTGCGGGGATCGCAGGTGGGGTTCGACGAGGTGACCGCGCGGATTGTTTCATCTGCCGGTGAACGATTGGTGTGTAAATTTTTTAGTTGCAGAGAAGAGAACAAATGAGACCCTTCGTCTGCCGCTGCTCACTTTTTCCTCAAGCAAGCTTATGAATTCTGATGTGTTGCTTTGCTTGTGCGGTTACTATGCAGCGCCCAACTCTGAAATAATCATATGGAAATTACCTTTTTCTGGTCCCTTCCTTTCCATTTATTCACAAATTCGATTTCACATTTGTAGTAACTGGTGACAGGCGAAGCGATGAGCCGGCCTGCTAGTTTTGGCTCTGACATAGTCATGTTAGATTGATCTCCCAGCCAATAAGCCCAACGATCTATTGGGCCTTGGTCACGCGCCCTGATCGGGGACGCCCAACCCTACATGGTTGGTGGGCCCCCGTCGCACTGCGCTATATAAAGTGGTGGGGGCCGGCGGCTCGAGATACGAGGTTCACCGTGAGCCGCAAACCCCACCTACAAACCCTAGACCGATCTGAGAGGGCGCGCAGCCAGCGACGGGAAGCTCCACTGACTTCGCCGTCGTCACTGCCACACCGTCCGTCTGCACTGCATCGACGTCTGTGCCACATCTACTCCACCCGTCACTGCCCGTGCGCAGACCTTCATCACCGAACCTGAGATGGTCGGCTCCAGTTCATCCGCGACTCCCTCCGAGGACTCAGGTTCAACACCAATACCTCTCTCTCTATCTCTCTGTCTCCACCTCTCAATCTAGATGTACTAGGGCTTATCTAGATTAACTGGTTACCTAGAAGTCCCTCGGTTCTGCTCTAGATCATTTCTATGGATATAACAAGTCACCGTCTCATCGGTTTTATGTTGCTCCTGACAGTGGACGTGCTGTAAGAGGCGAAATGGTCCACAACCGTATCATCATGGGACGCTGTTATCTTTGTGACCAGGCAACATGTACAACAGTTTGCTCTAGTCATTGCAGTTCACAGAGTCACAGGTTAGGTGCGTCACTAGGAAGGCCATAGAATTTCTGCTAACAGAGAACCTGATGTGGGGAATAGCTGAATGAATAAGATAACACATAAATACAGTTCAAAACGGAGGAAGACGTGTCCATTTATAACGTGGAGTCCAAACTGCCCATTTGTCCCCGGCGCACCCTCCTTCCGCAGTCCATCCGCACCACACCACGCTTCCCCTGCGGCTCTGCGGCTCTGCGGCTCTGCGCCTCTGCCACTCTTCTCTTCTCCTCCTGCAGGGTGCAGGGTGCAGGCCAGTACATGACGACGGGGCCTTGGCGCCGTGGCGGCCGCGCCACGACCACGACGAGCCTCGCGCTCCTCCTGCTGCTCGCGAGCGTCGCCGTCTGCTCCATCCCGGCGGTGCTCGCCCAGGCCACGACATCCACCAGCACCGTCGCCGGCAGGGACTTCACCACCTTCTCCTTCCCCGGGTTCTACGACAAGACCCCCGCCGACCTGACGCTCTCGACCAACGCCAGCGTCAACCAGAAAGCGCTGCAGATCACCCCCGACACGGGCAACAGCGCCACGAGCTTCCTAGTCAACCAGTCAGGTCACGTCTTCTACGCCACGCCGTTCGTGCTCTGGGCCGCCAACGCGTCCAACTCCACCGCCGACGGCCGGCACGTCGCGTCCTTCTCCACGGTGTACGAGGTCAATCTCTACCGCCAGAACAAGTCCGTCAAGGGCGAAGGGTTCGCGTTCGTTGTCGCGTCCGGCAACGATGGCCCGCCCCCCGGCAGCTACGGCGAGTACCTCGGCCTCACCAACGCCTCCACCGACGGCAACGCCACCAACGGGTTCGTGGCCGTGGAGCTGGACACGGTGAAGCAGTACTACGACCCCGACGATAACCACGTCGGGCTCGATCTCAACGGCGTCCACTCGATCTCCGCCATCCCGCTCGCCCCCTACGGCATCCAGCTCGCTCCCAATCACAGTAGTAGCTCCGGCAACTACATGGTCTGGATCGACTACAACGGCACCACGCGGCATGTGTGGGTGTACATGTCCGCGGACAATACCAAGCCGGACACCGCTGTGCTCAACGCGTCGCTGGACCTCTCAAGTACCTCCTCAGCAACAACAAGGGCTATTTCGGCTTCTCGGCGTCCACCGGCGTGGACTACCAGCTCAACTGCGTGCTCATGTGGAACATGACGGTGGAAGTGCTCCACGGCGAAAGCGTCCCCAAGAAGCTGTCCGGCTGGAAGCTCGGGCTGGCCATCGGCGTGCCGTGCGCCGCCGCGCTGGCGCTCGGGCTGCTCGCGGGCCTCTACTTGAAGAAGAAGCGGAAGAAGCAGGTCGGGGACGACCCGAGCTCGGTGGTGTTCCACAACGCCTTTGACCTGAGGAGCATCCCGGGCGTGCCCAAGGAGTTCGACTACAAGGAGCTGCGGAAAGGGACCAACAGCTTCGACGACAAGATGAAGCTGGGGCAGGGCGGGTACGGCGTGGTGTACCGCGCCACCGTGCCCGGGGACAACGGCCAGAGCATGGAGGTTGCCGTGAAGCAGTTCTCCGGCGCCAACACCAAGGGGCAGGAGGACTTCCTCGCCGAGCTCAGCATCATCAACCGCCTCCGCCACCGGAATCTCGTCAAGCTCGTCGGTAAGAAACTCTTTTGTCCTGCCTTTCCTGCTCATGACATTATTACATCTTATTATATTTTGCTTATATAAAGTTCTTATTATTATCAACTTCGTCTACTCTGCCGTGGCCGTTCTTATCGACAGTAATGTCAAAATTAGTTGGATTTATTTGCTATAGATAGTTCACAAAATATCTGATTTAATATTCCACCAAGCACTTCACTCCAAACGCCAATCCTAAGGCTCTGTTCGGCTGATACGTAAGCCGGCTGAAGCTGTTTTTTTTTTTTTGTTACGAGAGAAAAAATACTGTAGATTCTAACTGATAAGCTGGTTAATAAATTTAAAATGGTTGATAAGTTCAAAGTGAACGGGGCCTTTAGTACAGAGACAGCTCCGCTTTGATTTCTTGCTGTGGACCTTTAGTAGAGACCGGTTCAGCGACATGCTTTCCCTTGCAGCGCTTTATCCCTGTCGTTGTTACATCCATTTCCTGGATGGTTGCGTCAATGGAAATGTTGGAAATGAAATGCTTCCGGGGCCATGTTTAGTTCATCCCAAATCTAAATTTTAACACTACGTAAAAAGAAGATTTCCCGACACATCAAACTTATGGTACATGCATGTAGTACTAAATGTTGACGAAATCAAAAACTAACTGTACAGTTTGGTTGTACTTTGCGTGACGAACATTTTGAGCCTAATTAGTCAACAATTAAACAATTATTACCAAATACAAACGAAATACTACAGTGCGCTATAGTGTCTACAGGAAATCCGGCGGCGCCAATTCCGTCGGCAACTAAACATGGCCCAAGCTGTCGGATATGTCAAACGCAACCTGTAAAATGTCAGATTTTTCGTATGGCACCAAGATAGCTATCCAGAGAGCGACTATTCAACCCTCATTAGTCTACGTTTATAAGATTTCAAGCCACCGAAACATGCTCTCGTTATTATAATAAGAATAAAGAATGCTTAGAATCGTACGGCCCAGTTGGCGCCTAGTCACAAAAATCAAACTAGGACTAGTTTGTGGTGATGGTTTTGGCTGTATATTATTTTAGGGCCTCTGGCACGGCTTATGTCAGCTTCGGCTTCATCTATTTTACGTAAATCGAGATACTGTTGCGTGAAACCGTTTTATAAACCGGGGTTAAAATGAACTGTAAGCCGAGTTAAAATGAACTAGAAACTAAAAAAACCAATTTTTCTGACTTCACCGGCTTTGGCTTCACCGGTGAAGCCGTGCCAAAGAGGGCTTTAGTTTGGGCTCTGTGATTGAGCAGTGTACCCGGCCGGATAGCATTTTGACAACGTAAATTTTGACCTGGCTTGCTTCCCACTTGCTCTTAGAGAAAAATATTTGGTAGTTGCTGAACAATATGCCAAGCAAACACTCACCGACTCTAGTGACCTGGAAATGCTGAAAAACCACAGAGGCACAATCGCGGAGGGGGAAATAAATACGTTTTAGTTCATTTCCATCCTTCACGTTTCGAAATCAAAATGAGTAAAACAAGCTTCTGAAACCGACAAACGCTGTTTACGGCGGAAAGTTACTGTTCACGACGGGTTCTGCGAGAGAAAAACACGGTTCTAGATAAAAAAAGAAGCGGATAAACCGAGTTTCATGTCAACCGAACAAGGCCAAAGTAATCTGAATTTGGAATGCCACGTTTGTTGCAGGCTGGTGCCATCAGGACGGCGTGCTGCTGCTGGTGTACGACTACATGCCACACGGCAGCCTCGACAGGCACCTCTTCGGCGGCAAGGACGCGCCGACGCTGGACTGGAAGCTGCGCTACAACGTCGTCGCCGGCGTGGCGTCGGCGCTGAACTACCTCCACCACGAGTTCGAGCAGACGGTGATCCACCGCGACATCAAGCCGTCCAACATCATGCTGGACTCGTCGTTCCAGGCCCGGCTCGGCGACTTCGGCCTGGCGCGCGCGCTCGAGTCCGACAAGACCTCCTACACGGACAAGCTCGGCGTGCCGGGCACGCTCGGGTACATCGCGCCCGAGTGCTTCCACACGGGGCGGGCCACGCGCGAGTCCGACGTCTTCGGCTTCGGCGCCGTCATCCTGGAGATCGTCTGCGGCCGCCGCATCTCCTGCAGCAACCCGGCCGGGTGCAGCCAGCTGCTGGAGTGGGTGTGGAAGCTCCACGGCGCCGGCCGCGTCCTGGAGGCCGTGGACCCGCGGCTCGCCGCCGGCGGGTACGACGAGGAGGAGGCCGAGCGGCTGCTGCTGCTGGGACTCGCGTGCAGCCACCCGAAGCCGCGGCAGCGGCCCAAGGCGCAGGACATCTTACAGAACCTGCAGACGCGGTCCGTGCCGCCGCTCCCCGTGCCCATGTCCAAGCCCGTGTTCATGTGGCCTGTGCCGCTCGCCGACGGGGAGGAGGACGAGACACAGACGTCGCACAGCGGGGTCACCAGCTCAGAGGTGACATCGTCGTCGAACTACCCTTACACGTGGTCGTCGGGGTATACCACCCAGACGTTCCAGGTGAGCAGGACGCGGCGGGGAGGGACGTGTCGACCGTTTGAGTGAGACGGGATTGAGCTCAGCAGTGCAGCCGCCGGCAGGACGGGTCAACGACGGTGGTGCACGTGGGCAAGTGGAGCCCGGGCCAGGCGGATTTCGCGCTTTCATCAAGAGTCAAAAGGCCGACCATGGAGCTTGTGGCAACGTGGGTAATGACCTTGTTTAAATCTAGACGTAAAGTTTTAAGGTGTCACATCGGGTGTCACGTAGAAGTGTTGCATAGGCTATTTGGAGAGGTTTTCCATTGCAGCTTTGAGTGAGTAGCGTAGTGGGTCCTTTTACTGCAGCTATTGCTCGGTTTGCTTCTCAGAAGCCATCGCATCTGGATGTAAATAGCCGCCACATCTGTGTTTGTCACTTCGTCGAGCATTTTTACCTTTGGGTGACCTGTTATGTGCAGTAATATTTCAGAGTTTCGTGGTCATGTTGATTTCGCAAATGTGCAATGCAGTAGTTATGGTGGAGATCCGAAGTATCAGACGAGCCAATAGTTAGACCAAGGATCATCATGCTGCCGAATGAGCATTCAGCAGCCTGCATCAACCCAGTGAGCCCGTTCTTCTCCAAATAAGCTAGTTGCTGCTCTCGTCTTGGTTCTCTCTGGAAAGCTCTGCATTCCTCCTACAATTCCCAAACGGCCCAGTATTGCTGCGAGATACATTCTCTGGTCGGTCAATGGTCGTAAACTGCACTGATGGGCCTAACCGGGCTGGTGCTCTACGAGCGCAAAACGAGGCCGTTCACACGAAGATCGGCAACACATTAGCAATAGGCAGATAGTTCGAGTCACCACGGAGATAACTACCATGCTTTTGTGGCGAAGAGCATTTAGTTTTACAAGTAAATCATTATAATAAACTATGCTTGAAGAATCACTAGTTTTCGGACAAATTAGTAAAGAAATAGTCGATTCTTGCCTGGGACGGAACTCAACGGAGTTGCTCTATGTCGGCCAGCAAGTCTAATCATCTGAAAAAGAGTCAAAAGAGATAAATAACAACATGGTTTTAAAAAGGTAGTGCAAAGGAGCGGTAGTAAATTTGTTTTCGTCAATCGAATCGAATGTTAGGTACCTCGACTGGTCATGTACTCCATTTTTTATATGGAGTGGACGTGGTTTTATCCGGTTAGAAAACTGATACGGTACTATTTTCTTGTTGTTTTTTAGAGTTTTTTTTTCTTAAATTAGGCTAAAACTAACATGGTCCG